TGTCTTTTGTTATCAGAGCATGCTTGGGTTTGAAGAGCATGTCGTGGTAGCCCTATCGGAATGCTGGGACGGTCGGTCCTTGCTCAAGATTCTTCGTGTCGGAGGAGGACAAGGTACCCCACACCTTTGCCCTTCGGCCGTGTCCCCCTCTTTGGACCTCCTGGGCGGCCCTCGTCGCCACCGCTGGGTTGGCCTCGGAATCCTGGACAGGACGCGCCCCGTGAGAGCAGGGCTCATTTCGATTCCCCCGATTCGATCCGACTCGATTTCGATGGGTTCCGATTCCGATTCGATTCGGCTTCGGATCCCGATTTGGATTTCAATTTCTCAACGGAGGCCTACTAGCCTGCCGATTTCTGCCGACTCGACTTCTCCCGATTCGGCTGCCGATTTTTCCGCCGATCCGATTCCTTTCGATCGCCGCTCCGACTCGTCGATTCGATCCTGGGCTCTCCTGGGAGAGGTCCTGGGAGTAATGGTATCGGTACCTCGTGCCGGAGTAGCGGTATCGGAGGAGAAGGATAATGGGGGGAGGAGGAGGAGGAGGAGGAGGAGGAGGAGGAGGAGGAGGAGGAGGTGGGGAGGAGGGGGAGGAGGAGGAGGACGAGGAGGAGGGGAGGAGGAGGAGGAGGAGGAGGAGAGGGGGAGGAGCGAGGAGGAGGAGGAGGAGAGGAGGTGGAGGAGGAGGAGGGAGGGGAGGAGGAGGGTAGGAGGAGGGAGGAGGAGAAGGAGGGAGGAGAGCAGGAGGAGGAGAGGAGGAGGAGGGGAGGGAGGCGGAGGAGGGCCGAGGTAGGAGGAGGAGGGGAGGAGGATTGGAGGAGGAGGAGGAAGGAGGTGGAGGAGGAGGAGGAGGAGGCATGGGGAGGAGGAAAAAAGGGTGAGGAGGAGGAGGAGGAGGAGGAGGGAGGAGGTGGAGGAGGTGGAGGATGGAGAGGAGGAAGGAGGAGGAGGAGGACGAGGAGGGGGGGAAAAAAAGGGGAGGGGGAGAAGGATGAGGATACTGGCGGATCACACAGCCTTTGAGGGTGGCTGGTCCCGGTGGAATGTTGTGGCAAGTCAGGCTAGGGAAGGCTAGCCCTCGGACCACCACGTCAAGGGGCATGAACCCAGTTCTGCCAAATCCCGACTCTCTCTCCCTCTCTCTCTCTCTCTCCTCAGGGGCTTGGTTTCCACCACCACCACCATAAGCTGGAGGAGAGAGGGATGATGATGATGATGATGATGATGATGAGGAGGAGGAGGAGGAGGAGGAGGAGGGAGGAGGAGGAGGAGGAGGAGGAGGGAGGGGAAGGAGGAGGAGAGGAGGAGGAGGGGAGGAGGAGGAGGAGTGAGGAAGAAGGGAGGAGGAGGGAGGAGGAGAAGGATGAGGAGGAAGCAGGAGAGGAGGTGAGGAGGGAGGAGGCGAGGAGGAGGAGGAGGAGGAGGAGGTGGTGGAGGTGGAGGTGGAGGAGGAGGGGAGGAGGAGGGGAGGAGAGGAGGGGAGAGGTGTTGGGAGGATAGTGGCGGAAGGAGGGAAAGGGGGAGGAGGAGGGGGAGAGGAGGAGGAGGAGGAGGAGGAGGAGGAGGAGGAGGAGGAGGAGGACGGAGGGGGAGGAGGAGGGGAAGAGGAGGAAGAAAGAGGAAGAAAAACAAATAATAAGCATCCTATAATAGAATAAGACAGAATAATAATAGAGAAGGAGGTGGAGGGGAGGGGAGGGGGGCTATGGTAGGAGGGAAAGGAGGAGGAAGAGGAGGTGGAGGAAGGAAGAAGAGGAGAGGGGGGAGGACCCCCTCCCCCCTCCAACTTGTGGTGGTAGTGGTGGTGGTGGTGGTGGTGGTGGTTGTGGTCGTGGAAGACAGGTCCATCCTCTCCGCCCGCGGCTTCTCCGCTGCGGCCGTGGGCCCTCGGCTTCTGGCGCCGCCGCCCCCCCTACGGAGGGGAAAGAGATCGCACAGACACCATGCACATCGTCCTCCTCCTTTCCTCATACTCATCCTCCTCCTCCTCCTCCTCCTCCTCCTCCCCCCCTGAGATCGCACAGACACCATGCACATCGTCGACCCCCAGGAAGGAAATATGGGAAAATATCTGTGGAGTGTGGTGGGGTGAGACGCACGCCCAGAACACAGGAGAACGTGTGAGGAATCCTGGGATCTGTGTGTGTATTTGTCTGTGTGCTCCTGGGCCCCTCTGGCCCCCCTTCTTGCCCCGGCGGTCCTGGCGGATCGACGGCCCCGCGGCTGCGCGGCTCCCTGCCCCGGCCTCACGCAGGCCCGCTGCCCATCGGTGCCCCGAGCCTTCACGCAGGCCATGAGCTCGACGACGACGGCCTCACGGTGAGGGCCGAGGGCACGCCCGAGCACCGTGAGCTTCTTGCTTCGGCTTTCTCTTGATGGGTAGGTATATTTTCCACCACTAGTACCATATGTAGGGGGAGGAGAAGGGAGGATAGGACCTCCTCCTCCTCCTTCCTCCTCCTTCTCCTGCTCCTCCCTCTCCCTCTCCTACATAATATGGTAGTGGTGCCGGAAAACGGGCCCGCCATTTCTCCCAGCCGCCCTGCTCCCCCGTTGGGCCGACAGCTCTCCGTCGCCCCGTGCCCCGCCCGCCGCCACCCTCCCGCTGGTTTTGCGCGGGCCGCGCGCAGCGCCCACCATCCGCTCGGGCCTCATCGCGGCGTCGATCTCGGACAGCGGCCGTCCCCCAGGCGCGCCGCAGTGCCAGTGCCGCCGGGAGCGCTGGCCCCTTCGCTCACCACCGCCCCTGCCGCTGCCCCTCGGCGACGATCGGTGCTCCCCGCCGCTGCCTGCCTGCCCGCCGGCGCCCGCCCGCCTGCCCGCAGGCGCCCCGCCTGCGCCGCCGCCCGCCGCGCCCGCCGCTGCCGGCCGCCCGCTGCCCTCCGGCGCTCGCGGGGCCCTGCCCGCTGGCGCTCGTGCGGCGCCGCCGCCCGCCGCTCCCCGCCGCCCGCCCGCCGCCCCGCCGCCCCCCGCCGCTGCCCCGCGGGGGGCGGGCGGCTCCTGCCGCCTCGCTTCTGCAGGCTGTCCGGGGTCGACCCTCGGATGCGGCGCCCGGCGTGGCCTCGCTGCGCCCGGCCGCGCTCGCCTTGCTCGGTCGGTCGAGAGGCTCGTCGCCGCCCCGCCCGCGGGCGCCCGCAAAAGTGAGTGTGATTGTGTGTGTGTGCGTGTGTGTGTGTGTGTGTGTGCGTGAGGGCCGTTTTCTAAGCGGTGCTTGCGGGCCCCGCCGCCGCGCGCACTCTGCGTTGTCGCTGCGCTCGAGGCCGCTACCGCCAAAAAGTGTGCGTGAGAGAGAGAGAGAGAGAGAGAAAAAAAACAAAAACGTTCGCGTGTCCGTGCGTGCACGCGTGTGTGTGTGTGTGTGTGTGTTTGTGCGTGTGCGTGTGCGTGTGCGTGCGTCTGTGTGTGCGTGTGTGTCTGTGTGCGCGCGCGTGTGTGTGTGTGTGTGTGTGTGTGTGTGTGTATGTGCGTGCTTGCGTGCGTGCGTGTGTTTGTGTGATGTGTGCGTGCGTGCGTGCGTGCGTGTGTGCGTGTGTGTGCGTGTTTGTGGTGTGTGTGTGTGCGTGTGTGTGTGTGTCTGTGCGTGTTTGTGCGTGTTTGTGTGCGTCTGTGTGTATGCGTGTGTGTGTGGGTGTTTGTGTGTGTGTGTGTGCGTGCGTGCGTGCGTGCGTGTGTGTGTGTGTGTGACTGTGTGTGTGTGCGTGCGTGTGTGTGTGTGTGTGTGCGTGTGCTTGTGTGTGTGTGTTGTGTGTGGTTTTGGTGTGTGTGTGTGTGTGTGCATTTGTTTGTGTGCTTTTGTGCGTGTTCTAGATGTGTGTGTGTATGTGTGTGTTGGCTGCGCGTGTGTGTGCATGTGCGTATGTATTGCGTTTGTCTGTGTGCGCGCGCGTGTGTGTGTGTGTTTGTTTGTGGGTGTTTGTGTGCGTGTGGCTGCGTGTGTGCTTGTGTGTGTGGTGTGTGTGTGTGTGTGTCTGTGTGTGTGTATGTGCGTCTGTATGTGTTTCCGCGTGGTGTTCGCGCGTGTTTGTTTGTGTGTGTGTGTGTGTGTCTGTGCGCTTGTGTGTTTGTGTGTGCGTCTGTGCGTGTGTGTGTGTGTGTGTGTGTGTGTTTTGATTGATTGTGTGTGTTGTGTGTGTGTGTTGTGTGCGTGTGTGTCTGTGTGTGTTTGCGTGCTTTTGCGTGTGTGTGTGTGACTGTGTGTGCATGTCTGTGGTTGTGTGTGTTGTGCGTGTTTGTGTGAGTATGGGTGTAGAAAGGGGTGTGTGTGTGTGTTTGTGCGTGTGCTTGTAATTGTGCTTATGCTTGTGTTTGGTGTTTGTGCTTGTGTTTGCGATTGTGCATGTCTGTGGTTTCTGCTTTTGCTCGTGCTCGTGCTCGTGCTCGTTCTCGTGCTCGTGCTCTTGCTCGTGCTCGTGCTTGTGCTTGTGCTTGTGCCTACACTTGTTCTCGTGCTCGCGCTTGTGCGTGTGGTTGTGCTCGTGCTCGTGCTTGTGTTTGTGCTTGGGCTCGTGCCCGTACTTGTGCGTGTGGTTGTGTTGTGTCGTGTGTGTGTGTGAGTGTGTGTAGTTGTGTGTGTGCGTGTGGGTACGTGTGTGTGTGTGTGTGTGTGAGAGTGTTTGTGTGCGTGCGTGTTTCCACGTATGGGTACGCGTGCGTGTGTGCTTGCGTGTGTAACGCGTCCCGTTTGTAGACATCCAGCTGTTGCTGCAACGCTGCGGGAGAGAAACATATGGTGTTTTTTGTTGTGTGTGTGTGCGTACGTGCGTGCTTGCGTGCGTGCGCGCGCGCGTGTGTGTGTGTGTTTGTGTGTGTGTGCGTGTTTTTTTTTTTTTTGTGTGTGTGTGTGTGTTTGTGTTTGTGCGTGTGCGCGCGCACGTGTACGCATCTTCTCGTGCCTACGTGCACGTGCCTTCTGTGTACCGATACCTCGCCCCTTCTGCAGCCGCTTTGGCTCAGGGCACCGCGCTCGTACCACAATCGTAGGCGCGACGGCCGGGGCAACAATGCAGCTTACCATGGCCGCAGCTCTGCTGCTACTGGGCGCATTCGCGCCAGTCTCGACGGCCTCCGCAGTCGCGGGGGCTCAGCAGGTCACCACCCACCAGACCACCCCAACCCAACCCGAAGGCTCAGATTTACCCTCGATGTCCAGCGGGGGGGGGGTCGGGAAACATTGAAAAAAAACACGTGTGGAACCCTTACCCCCCCCAAACCCGAAATTCGGGTCTTCGGGTTGGGTCGGGATGTCCTGGTAGGGTGTCAGCAGGTGACTCCTGTGCAGAAGGTCATCACACTCATGGAGGGCATGATGGAGCAAGGCAAGAAGGAGAAGGAGGCGGAGCAGGTCCAGTTCGCCGCCTACAAGCAGTTCTGCGAGGACACCACGAGCCTCAAGCAGAAGGCGATCGCGGAGGCCAACGACAAGATCGATGTACTGAAGGCTGACATCGAGAAGTACCTCTCCGACGCCGAACAGCTGAAGAAGGAGATCGAAGGCCACGACGCGGACATCAGCGCCTGGGATGGAGACATGAAGGCCAGGGAGAGTGTGTGTGTGTGTTGGTGGTCGCCTGATCACTTGACTTTTGGATCGGAAAGAACGTGTTTGGTGGGTGCATGGACAGAGGTTGCGACAGAGTTTACTTGTGGGGGGGTGGGGGGCCGTCGGGGAAGGGGGGTGCGGTTCCAGAAGGGTGGGTGGGGTGCGGGGGGGGAGCCTCTCCCCGTCTCGGTGAACGGGGGGCGCATGGGGGGCGAATCCAAACCATCTGTGACGAACGCCAGCCACGTGGTGCAGCGCAGAAGCCCAAGATGGTAACAATCCCGACCCGCCAAATCGCCTCACAACGGGAATCGGTGTGTGTGTGCGTGTGAAATTTCAGATGGTACCCACGAGCCAAGCAACCTCCTCACATGTAACATGTATCCATGAGTTTTGAATTTCTTCTGGGAAGTAATCTGGATGGCCAACTTGGGATTGGCGCCAAAGGGGCGGTGCAATTGCCTTAGGAATTCCCAGGGTTGCTGACACATGAAAACGCACGATTCTAAACGCAAAACAGCGCAGTGAAATTGAAAGCAAGGGTTGCACAACGGGGTTGCGCAGCACAACGTAATGTAAGCGCAATGCCGCGCAGTACAATGGAATGACAACGACAGAATAGCCACGATTTACAACCTGATGCAATGCAAACCAATGCATCGCAGTGGAGATCATTGCAGAAGCAACGCAATGTGCCACAATGCATCAATGCATCAAGTGGAAGAAACGACTGCTTTGCGTCGCGGCTCAATGCTGTACAAACGAATTGCTAAATACGTGCAGAGCAAACCGGCAGCAAGGCAAACACATTGCAAGCATAACGAATGAGAAGACAATTCAATCCAAAGCAATGCCGCAGCAACTCGAAACCGCCGCAGCGTACAGCAACACCAGCTTAGTGATTTCACGAGCACCGCAGCAGCAATGCACAACAGGGACGTGCACAACCAGCGCAACAATAGCTAGGCAGATAAATGCCAAGCCAATACAAAAAAAACAATGCGCAAGCATTGCAAACGCGTTGCCAAAGCAATTCCACAACAGTACAACACAATGTGTATTGATAACACAATGTGTATTGATAAATGGCGAGTCATGAACATTAGCAGAAACATATCAGAAGCTGTGGAACTAACAGTCTGGAGGACTCGACGGACTCCCAAACAACTCCGAAGGATCGCGTAAGAAATATGCGGGCCGCAATGGTTCCTCTTTCGATGTCCTTGTTGCTTGAGGAACCCGCGAGGCATTCCATCATTTTGCTAAGGATCCTGGACACCTTCGTTTCTTCTTGACCATTTCTCAGGGCCCACCTGAGTGAGAGATTTCCGCTTACGCGATCCATGCCAAGTCACGCTCATGTTGGCGATTTCGGGACAGGCAAACGTCGTCGTGCTCATCTTCTCCCTCTTCTGACCATGTGGGGGGGCCCGGGGCGGGGTGGGGGCTTTGGGGCTTGGCAGGGAAGGGGGGCGGGGCTTTGGGGCCTGGCCGGGTGGGGCCGGGGGAGCCGGGCACGGCTTCGTGGGGGCCCAGGGAGGGGTGGGGGGCTTTGGGGCCTGGCCGGGGAGGAGGGGCCTGCGGCTCAAGCAGTGGCGAAGCGTCTTGGCTCGCCTATAGCCCTACCGAACAATGTTCTAAGAACCTTTTGTGGTTTCCACGAAATGTTCTTAGAACATTTCTGGCGGAGTCAGTCTGGTTTCATCACATCGGGTTTACGTTCTAAGAATAATTTTTGATATTCGAACATTTTCGGGTTCTAAGGACATTTCGTGGTAGGACTATAGGAAGGCCGGGATGGTCGATCCCTGCTCAATGCGGCGTCATGGGGGCAAGGGGGGTGGGGGTGGTAGATTCGAGGCGTGTCGCCGCGGGGGCTAACGTTGCCAGGAGACGCGTGCAAACGAAAATGCGCCTGCGGCGGGCATTTTTGATGTTTTCCTTTGACTCTACAGGCAACCAGCTGCCTCGAGACGTCTTCAAATCGCACCGCGCCGCGCCGAACACAGACTAGCACCTCACTCCTGTCCGCACCTGCGGGAGTTACGATGAGAAAGTGCCGGGATTCATTTGGGTGGTGTTCGGATTCGCGAGGGTCGTCAGGATTTGCAGAGAATCCCTCTGGGTCCGCACGGGATTCTTCGGGGTGCAGGAGGAGTTCAAGACCGCCTGTAAGATTCACGTGGGAGTCCACCAGATTCGGGAAGTCCTCGGTTCCCCGAGGGCAGTCCTCAAGATTCGTAAGGATCCCGCGAAGATTCCCCGAGGACTTTTGGAGGACTGCTTTGGGATTTCTTCGAAGTCGTCAGGGGTTCCTGCAATTCTGTTGGGGTTCCCGTCGGATGACGGGAAGCGTCTTCGAGGCACGCGAAGCGAGTTGGACGTTCTGGCTGGATCTGCAACATATCCCAACATGTCTTACTCATATGGGGTAGCTGATGACGGGAAGCGCGCTCAGACTCGACGAGTCGCGCGATGGACGTTTGTTTAGACTTGGAGGGACATAGTATCAACTGGGGGGAGTCTGAGGGGGGAAGGGTTCGGGGTACCTCCTTTATTCGATCCCGGCAGATGACGGGAAGTGTCTTCGAGGTACGAGAAGCGAGCTCGACGTTGTGACTGAATCTGAGACATCGTGGATGGCGGAGAGGGTGGCGGATCGCACGGGAGCGAGGCTTAGCGGATGACGGGAAGCGCGCTTAGACTTGAAGAGTCGCGCGATGGACGTTGGTTGCCGGCCCGGAGGGACAAATATTTATCAAGTGGAGGGGTCCAGGGGAGGAGTGGTGGCGGGAGTGCTTCTCTACTGGGACGTGGTGGATGACGGGAAGAAGCGCGCTTAGACTCGAAGAGTCGCCCGATGGACGTTGCTTATTGGCCAGGAAGGGAAAGTATTTATCAAGTGGAAGGGTCCAGGGGGGGAGCGGTGGCAGGTTCGGCCTCCACCGGGACGTGGCGGATGACGGGAAGCGCGCTTAGATTCGAAGAGTCGCGCGATGGACGTTGCTTATGGGCCCAAACGAGGCCCACTACGACCCCAAGAGTACCCTCGAGATTCCTCAAACTTAGCATATCGCTAGAGACATCCTCACAACAATGAGTTGTTCGCAGCATCGTCTTTTACAGAAACAAGCGTTTCGCCTGAGACATCCACCAGAACATGAAAGTCGCGAATTTAACAAACGTATGAAAATGGGGCTATCGCCTGAGACATCCTCGAACACAAACAGATGTTGAAAAGGTTGATTTAAGACCATGCGTGTTACAAGTGAGTTTTTCGCTTGTCTTCAGAACATGGGCAGGATCACGGCAGCCCAACACGCAGAAACACGGCAGAACGCGCGTGAGCACGGCAAAACACACAGGAGCACTGCAGAACGCACAGGTGCACATCCGTAACCATTCTGGCTACACGCCATGGAGAACCCGACGCGACGACCGCGAGTCGTTCGCGGCGCTCTGAGCGCGAGGGTCTCCGCGCTTTGGGCCAGTGCACTTAGAGTTTGTGCTTCCTGCTTTCGCGGCGCGAAGGCGCGGCCCCTCGGCCAGCTCTGCAGTGGCCATGGCGAATTCCCCACGCGGCGGCGGCAACAGCAGGCGCGGCAAGTCCTATTGGATGTGCAGCTGCGGAGGCTGGAACTGGGACTGGCGCGCCTCGTGCCTTGGCTGTGGGTATGCGGCTCCGCCCTGGGCGCTGGGAGTGTCCCCCGCCAAGGCGAGGCCCAAGGCATACAAGGACGGGTGGGTGGATCAGCCACGTGGGCGCCGTGCCCAGAGGCAGGCCCGCAGTGCGGCCTCGCGGGGAGCCTCCGCCAAGTCGCAGACCTCGGCGTCGGCAGCGAGTGGGACGCCCAGCGGTGGAGGCGCCACGGCGATCGAGAGGCTCCAGGCGGCAGTCGAGCAGCTCGAGGCGCTGCAGGCCGAGCCACCCGACGGCGTGGACGGCTGCTTCACCGACGTCGTGGCCAGCCAGCTGGATGCGAAGCGCGCCGAGCTGGGCAGGGCCCAGAAGGCGGCAGCAGAGCAGAAGGCCTCCTCCCGGCCACGGGCAGCGCAGCTCCACAGGGAGGCGAACGCCATCAGCAAGGGTGAGAAGCGGCCCCGCGCCGCCCGCCAGGAGCTCGAGCAGAAGCAGGCGGCGCGTAGCCTCGTCGAGGCCCAGCTCCAGAAGGCCCAGGAGGAGCTCGCGGAGCTCGACGCGGAGGTCGAGGAGGCGAGCCGTGCGCTCCAGGTGCTCGAGGAGGCAGCCTGCGAGGAGGCCGAGGCGCTGCGCCGCCAGCGTGCTGCCGAGCGGGCAGGAGCCAGCCAGGTGCCAGGGCTCCTCATGCAGCTGGAGAAGTTGCCCGCGGCCTGGGGCTCCAGCAACTTCGAGGTGGCCTGGGCAGCCATCCGCGCCCAGGTGGAGGCGGTGCGGGCGCAGCTCGCGGGGGCCCCAGTGGCCCCCAAGCGTGCGCCGTGGGCTGAGTCCTGCCCCATGGAGGAGATCAGCAGCGGCGAGGACGATCTCGCTGGTAGCGGTAGCTCCTGGCAGCCACAGCCAGCAGCAGAGCGAGGCCAAGCCGAGCGGCGTGGCAAGGCGCATGGCGAGTGGCCGACGGTGGCCCAAGCGTGCAAGCGGGAGCTGGCTGCAGAGGCAGCGGACCTGGCTCCTCTGGCTGCTCTTCATGCTGGCCGCACCACTGGGAGCCGCGTCGGAGGAGCACAGCCAGGGCCAACGAGTGCCTAGTCAGACCAGGGCGGCGGGCCTGCACCAGCACGAGTGCGGCCACGTCGAAGGCGCCCTGGTGGAGTCCCACGGCATCGACGTCAGCGACCCGCCCAGGTACCTGGGGCACGCCGCAGGGCCCAGCATTGTCCTCATGCCCCAGGGCGCGGAGGAGAACGAGGTCGGGGCCCGCGTGTTCGGCACTAGCGAGTGGAGCGACCCCGTCGGCCAAGCAGGCGTACCTGGGCATCCCGAGGCGGTGGCAGTGAGAGCGGACCTGCAGCAGCCA